TTTTCTTCTCTCTTTCCTTTCTTCCTTTCCTTTCTTTTCTTCCTTTCCTTCCTTCCTTTCTTTTCTTTTATTGTGTTCCAGGCTGGAGTGCAGTGGCGTGATCATAGCTCGCTACAGCTTCAAATTCCTGGGCTCAAGTGATCCCCCTGCCTCAGCCTCCAGAGAAACAGGGACTATAGCTGTGTGCCACCACACTTGGCTAATTTTTTATTTTTTATTTGCTGTAGAGATAGGATCTCACTATGTTGCCCAGGCTGGTCTTAAACTCCTGGTCTCAAGCAATTCTTCCACCTTGGTGTCTCAAAGTGTTGGGATTACAGGAGTGAGCTACCATGCCTGTATATTTTAATTAATAATCCTTTTAAGAACTTTTTTTTTTTTGCCGGGTGCTGTGGCTCAAACCTGTAATCCCAGCACTTTGGGAGGCTGAGGCGGGTGGATCACGAGGTCAGGAGATCGAGACCATCCTGGTCAACACGGTGAAACCCCGTCTCTACTAAAAATACAAAAAATTAGGTGGGCATGGTGGCGCGTGCCTGTAATCCCAGCTACTCAGGAGGCTGAGGCAGGAGAATTGCCTGAACCCAGGAGGCGGAGGTTGCGGTGAGCCGAGATCGCGCCATTGCACTCCAGCCTGGGTAACAAGAACGAAACTCCGTCTCAAAAAAAAAAAAAAAAAAAAAAAAAAAAAGAGATTGAGACCACCCTGGTCTCAATATGGTGAAACCCCATCTCTACTAAAAATACAAAAAATTAGCTGGGCATGGTGGCGTGTGCCTGTAATCCCAGCTACTCAGGAGGCTGAGGCAAGGGTTTGTTTAACTGAATAAAGGTTTTGTGAGACTAGTCTTGGGCTGTAGCAAATCTGGTGTACTTTGTGCTATGAGTTTGTCTTTCTGTGTAGTTCTGTAATGGAGAAGCATACTATGAAATAGAACATGAACTTGGGACTCCTATAAGCCTGCTGTTCAAACCAGTTTGGCAGACTGGTCAGGTACAAACTTTGCTGCAGTTCCCTGAAACCAATACTGGATGAGGTTTCCCTCTCATCTTGTTTTACATCCTTGGATGCTTGACTTTGTAAACTTATGGTAGTACTTTCTCTTGGTCTTCACCATCCAGAGGACAGGAATCTTGTGGTTCATGTCATAATTAGCTTTAAAAATTATCTCAAGCAGTGAGAAGCCCTTGCAAGCTTGAAATTGGCTGTTCTAGGTTCCTTCTGGGAAGGGTAATAAAGGCTGCCCGGTGTTGTAACTCAGAAGGTAAGGCTTTGTCTTTTCACAGTGGTAGCCTGGGGTTACATTCTTGGCCTGGGGAATGAGTACCTTCTGATTTTTTTTTTTTTTTTTTTTTTTTTTGTAGGTAGAGGTCTTGATATGTTGCCCAGGCTGGTCTCAAACTCCTGGGATCAAGTGAGCCTCCTTCCTAGGTCTCCCAAAGTATTGGCACTACAGGTGTGAACCACTGCATCCAGCCTTTTTCATTTTCTAAACCACAGAAATGATATGTATGAAAATACGTTTGGGAAGCTGGGCGCGGTGGCACACACCTGTAATCCCAGAACTTTGGGAGGCCGAGGCGGGTGGATCACGAGGTCAAGAGATCGAGGCCATCCTGGTCAACATAGTGAAACCTCGTCGCTACTAAAAATACAAAAAAATAGCTGGGCATGGTGGTGCGTGCCTGTAATCCCAGCTACTCGGGAGGCTGAGGCAGGAGAATTGCCTGAACCCAGGAGGCGGAGGTTGCGGTGAGCCGAGATTGCGCCATTGCACTCCAGCCTGGGTAACAAGAGCGAAACTCCGTCTCAAAAAAAAAAAAAAAAAGAAAGAAAGAAAGAAAAAGAAAATAGGTTTGGAAGGGGGATAAATTAGTCATTGTGCCGTGGCCCAAGTCTAGTCATTGTTAATAGTTTAGTATTATCCTTCCAGTTTCTGTCTGTGCACATATTTCTGTTACATATAGTTATAATAATCTTTCTTTCTTTCTTTATCTCTTTCTCTCTCCTCTCTCTCTCTCTCTCTCTCTCTCTCTTTCTTGATAAGAGTTTCACTCTTGTTGCCCAGGCTAGAGTGAAATGGCATGATCTTGGCTCACAGCAACCTCTGCCTCCCAGGTTCAAGTGATTCTCCTGCCTCAGCCTCCTGAGTAGCTGAAATTCTGCCGCCATGCACAGCGAATTTTTTTGTAATTTTAGTAGAGATAGGGTTTCACCATGTTGGCCAGGCAGGTCTTGAACTCCTGACCTCAGGTGATCGGCCCACCTCTGCCTTCCAAAGTACTGGGATTATAGGCGTGAGCCACTGCGCCCAGACAATAATAATATTTCTTGTAGACTTACAGCCTCTTTCTATGTTGGCATTATAGGATAAAAACGTCACTACATTAACATATTCTATTGCTGAATAATGTTTTTAATTGTTTCAAAATTGCCCATCATGTGGACATATCAATTACTCTGTTTTTTTTTTTTTTTTTTTTTTTTTTTGAGATAGAGTCTTGCTCTGTCACCCAGGCTGGTGTGCAGTGGCATGATCTTGGCTCACTCTTACTGCAACCTCCGCCTCCTGAGTTCAAGTGATTCTCCTCCCTCAGGATCCTGAGTAGCTAGGACTACAGGCATGCAGCACTACGTCTAGCTAATTTTTGTAATTTTAGTGGAGACAGGGTTTCACACTGTTGTCCAGGCTGGTCTCGAACTCCTGATCTCAAGTGATCCGCTCTCCTTGGCGATCAGTACTTGGATGGGAGACTGCCTGGGAATACCGGGTGCTGTAGGCTTGTTTAAAAAAAAGAAAAAAAGAAAAGAAAATTGAAAAAAATAGTAAATTTAGGCCAGGTGCTGTGGTTCATGCCTGTAATCCCAGCACTTTGGGAGGCCGAGGTGGGTGGATCACAAGGTCAGGAGTTCAAGACACCAGCCTGGCCACAATGGTGAAACCTCATCTCTACTAAAAACACACAAAAAATTAGCTGGGTGCAGTGGCAGGCCTCTGTAATCTCAGCATCTTGGGAGGCCAAGGCAGGAGGATAGCTTGAACCTAGGAGGTGGAGGTTGCAATGAGCAGGGATTTTGCCACTGCATTTTCGCCTGGGTGATAGAGCAAGACTCTGTCTCAATGAATAAATGAATAAATAAATAAATTTGAAGTGGAGACTACCCTTAATTGTTTTCTGCACTAATGACGGTCCTATAGTCGTTGCCATTGGGGCAACTGAAACGTGAAACAACGCTATTGGTTTCAGTGGATCCAGAGGCATTTGGGTTAGGTTATATAGTTTAGCTTATATTCTGGAATAAAAGTTTATATTAGGTTATACAGTGTAGCTTATATCCTAGAACTTTCTGTAAGGGAGGATGAGCAACAGGGTTGCTCAAGCATAATAAAAGAAAGATATTTGGCCGGGCGCGGTGGCTCAAGCCTGTAATCCAGCACTTTGGGAGGCCAAGGCGGGTGGATCACGAGATCAAGAGATCGAGACCATCCTGGTCAACAAGGTGAAACCCCGTCTCTACTAAAAATACAAAAAATTAGCTGGGCATGGTTGTACGTGCCTGTAATCCCAGCTACTTGGGAGGCTGAGGCAGGAGAATTGCCTGAACCCAGGAGGCGGAGGTTGCGGTGAGCCGAGATCGCGCCATTGCACTCCAGCCTGGGTAACAAGAGCAAAACTCCGTCTCAAGAAAAAAAAAAAAAAGACATTTAAATCATGAAGTTTGAAGGATGTGGCCTTCTTCAACCACCAAGACCTTCTCATTTCTCTCTCTTAAGCCACACACATACATATACCACACGTTTATTTATTCATTGCAAAACAAAAACAAAAAATTGCCATTTTGTCAGGTATGGTGGCTCACACCTGTAATCCTAGCACTTTGGGAGGCTGAGGTGGGAGGGTTGTTTGAGCCTGGGAATTCAAACCAGCCTGGGCAGTAGAGTGAGACCCTGTCTCTACAGAAAATAAAACAATTAGCTGGGTGTGGTGGTGGTGTGTGCCTATAGTCCCAGCTACTCTGGAATGCTGAGGTGGGAGGAATGTTTGAGCCTGAGAGGGTGAGGCTACAGTGAGCTGAGATCACATCACTGTACCCCAGCCTTGGTGACAGAGTGAAACCCTGTCTCAAGGAAAAACAAAAGCAAAAACAAAAACAAAAAAAAAGTGCCATCCTTTGTGTCTGTCGCTGTCTCTCTAAATGGACAAAGTTTTACGGTAAGCTACCGTTTACTGAGCCTGTTTGATCCTTCACATGTAACAGCAAAACTTATCACAACTAGGAGGTAGGTACTAGTTATTATTCCCATTTTACAGATTGGGAAACAGAGACTTAGAGAAGTGAGGCAAGTTGGCCGAGGTCATGACGTTAGTCAGTGGCCGAGCCAGTATTCACACAGTTGTGTTTAGCTGAAAAGTCTAGGTCCTTCCTACGATCCTCCACTCACACCACACACACATGCCTGCATATGCATGCATGCACACACACGAATCTTGTGTCCCATTGACTTTAAGTGCTGTCATATTCATATTTCTTGACCTAGCTTTGTAAACACAGTGACATGCATGGAATTCAGGACTTTTTTTTCCGCCTTTTTGTTTTTCTCCACGCCCAGTGAGCCAGATGCACGAATAAGTAGGCTTACTTCGTTTGCATTTTCGACATTTGAAAAGAAATTCCGTGTTCCTCATGCTCATGAATGTGCCTCAGGCACTTGGGTGTTTCCACTTGGAGGAAGATCTTCTCTCAGACCACATTCTTTTCCCATGGACTTCAGGGACTGTGGCAAAGCCCGCCACTGGATCTGCCTGGAGCAAACAGTGACTGTGGGAGTCGGAGACTTCTGGTCTTTCTTCAGCTCCAGTTGGAAGAGTGCCGTAAAATCATGTGATGTTTGGACTAAAAGGGCAAGCCAAAGAATGTCCCTTGCATCTTTGTCTGGCCGGTGAAGTCTAAGCAGTGAGCAAGGGAGCCTCTCCAAGGAGCTGTTTCAATCCGCTGGATGTGCCAGGACAGTGGAATAAAAGGTGAGTCTCTAAGCCACTCCCAGTGGGGCTATTAACACTTAGCACTGTTTCAAAACCAGTCGGTGAGAGTCAGGACGCACAGGGAAGGATGGTGAGAGGCCCTGGAAGGGAACGTCTTGGTCATCTGGTTAAGCTCCCTCCACTAATGGGAGTGAGTAGTGGTGTTGGTGGCCAAGCAGTAAGCCAGGAGGAGAAGGGACATAACTAGTCTTTCACAGATAGTTTGGTTAACCAGGACTCGATTTCTAAGTGTCTTAACCCTGAGGCCAGGTAAAAAAAAAAGTCCCAGGACAGAGGGCAACCCTCATTTAGGGTATTATTTGGTGGCCCATGATCACCATTCCTGAATAGCTTTGCTAATTAGATCACTTTTTTTTTTTTTTTTCTGAGACAGGGTCTCTCTCTGTTGCCCAGGCTGGAGTGCAGTGGCGTGATCTTAACTCACTACAACCTCTGCCTTCAACCAATTCTCCTGCTCAGCCTCCTGAGCAGCTGGGATTACAGGCGTGTACCACCATGCCTGGCTAATTTTTGTATTTTTAGTAGAGAGGGATTTTCACCATGTTGGCCAGGCCGATCTCAAATTCCTGACCTCTAGTGAGCCGCCTGCCTCAGCCTCCCAAAGTGTTGGGATTACAAGTGAGCCACCGCACCCAGCCAAGATCACTTCTTCTAAACACCTGTTTCTTCAGTCTGAGTGCCAGGGAGAGGGAGAGCTGCTGTGGAAGAAAGCAGCTTATTGCTGCTAAAGAGAGAGGACATCTCTCAATTTCTGCTTTCTTCTCAGTTTTCTTCTTCATTTCATATTTACAGCTTTCTGTTCTTTTTCTTTTTCTTCTTCTTCTTCTTTTTTTTTTTTTTTTTTTTTTTTGAGACAGAATCTTGCTCTGTCACCCAGGCTGGAGTGTAGTGGTGCAATCTGGGCTCACTGCAACCTCCCCCTTCCAGGATCAAGTGATTCTCATGTCTCAGCTACCCAAGTAGCCGGGACTACAGATGCACACCACCATGGCCCCCTAATTTTTTTCGTTTGTTTGTTTTTAGTAGAGATGGGCTTTTGCCATGCTGGCCAGGCTAGTCTCAAATTCCTGACCTCAGACAATCTGCCGGCCTTCGTCTCCCAAAGTGCTGGGATTTCAGGTGTGAGCCACCACACTGGGCCAGCTTCCAATTCTTCTGAATTACAGAAAGAATAAAATGGTTTTTTTCCATTTTTTTTTTCTTCTCTCTCTCTCTGTTTCTCTGTCTTACGTTGTTTTTTTTTTTGTTTGTTTGTTTGTTTCTTTTTTTGAGATGGAGTTTCACTCTTGTTACCCAGGCTGGAGTGCAGTGGCACGATCTCGGCTCACCGCAACCTCCGCCTCCTGGGTTCAAGCAATTCTCCTGCCTCAGCCTCCTGAGTAGCTGGGATTACAGGCATGCACCACCAGGCCCAGCTAATTTTTGTATTTTTAGTAGAGACGGGGTTTCACGTTGTTGGCCAGGATGATCTGGATCTCTTGACCTCGTGATCCACCTACCTCGACCTCCCAAAGTGCTGGGATTACAGGCGTGAGCCACCGCACCCGGCCCATGTTGTTGTTTTTTTGAGGCAGGGTCTTGCTGTGTCTCAAAAACTCCCCGGCTGGAGAGCAGTGCCATGATCATGGCTTCCTGCAGTCTCAACCTCCCAGGCTCAAGCAATCCTCCCAAGTAGCCGGGAACACAAAAGCATGCCACTGCGCTGGGCTAATGTTTTGATTTTTCTTTCTTTCTTTCTTTCTTTATTTTTTGTAGAAATAAGGGCTCACTATGTTGCCCAGGCTGGTCTTGAACTCCTGGGCTCAAGCAATCCTTCCACCTTGGCCTCCCAAAGTGCTGGGATTATAGGCATCAGATACTGTGTCTAAAATTTATTATAGAGTATTACTTATCTAGACCACTAAGGGCTTCACTCTGAACTGGGAGAGTAATTTAGCTCTTCCCAACAGACCTGGGGCTTCACGCTACTGTCACCTCTTTGAATCCTCCATACCTCTACCCTGAGACTTAGCAGATGGTCTTTGGCCTCATTGAGTGAGCAAGAGGGAGTGAGGAAGTTCAATGTAGTCATGAAATCATGAGCCTAGGTTGAATTGTGACTCAGCTGAATTTTAAATATTTAATTGAACTATACAAAATTGCTGATATGCAACCTAAAAAATTTTGAATGTTTTGTTTCTAGATAATTGTAGATCGATATGTAGTTGTAAGGGATAATATAGAGAGATCCCATTTTCTCCTAATAGAAACATTGTGCAAAAGTATAATCTAATATAATAACTAATATGTTGACATTGATACAGTAAAGACACAGAACACTTTCATCACCACAGAATCCCTTCTTCTTTTTTTTTTTTCTTTTTTGAGATGGAGTTTTGCTCTTGTTACCCAGGCTGGAGTGCAGTGGCACGGTGTCGGCTCACCGCAACCTCTGCCTCCTGGGTTCAGGCAATTCTCCTACCTCAGCCTCCCGAGAAGCTGGGATTACAGGCACGCGCCACCACGCCCAGCTACACAGAATCCCTTCTATAGCCACATCCACCCTGCTCCTCCCTGACAACTACTATTTTGTCCTCCATTTGTATAATTTTGCCATTTTAAGAATGTTATATAAATGAAAGTATGTAACCTTTTGAGACTGGCTTTTTTCACTTATTATTCCTTGGAGGTTCACTGAGAGTGTTACATGTATCAACAGTTTGTTACTTTTTATTGCTCACTAGTATTCTGTGGTATGCATGTACCACAGGTTGTTTAATCATTGACCCATTAAAAGATGCCTGGGTTCTTTCCAGTTTTGGGCTATTACCAAATAGAGCTACTGTGAGCATTCTTTTTGGAGGTTTATGTGTGTTTTCATTTTTTTCTGTGATAAGTACCCAAGAGTGCAACCGCTGGATGGTATGGTAGTTGTGTGTTTAGTTTTATAAGAAACTGCCAAACTTTTCCAGGGTGGCTGTACATTCCTGCCAGCGATATAGGAGTGATTCAGTTTCTCTGCTGTATCCTCATTCTGTTAGGTGTGTAGTGATATCTCATTGTGGCTGTAATTTGTATTTTCCTAATGGCTACTGATGTTGGATTTCTTTTCATATGTTTGTTATCTGCATATCTGCTTCAGAGAAATATGTGTTCATATCTTTTGCACATTTTAGTTTTTTTTTTTTTCTTGAGACAGAGTCTCACTATATTGCCCAGGTTGGAGTGCAGTAGCACAATCTTGGCTCGTTGCAACCTCTACCTCCCAGGTACAAGCAATTCTCCTGCTTCAGCCTCCAAAATAGCTGGGACTACAGGCATGCGCCACCATGCCCAGCTAATTTTGTATTTTTAGTAGAGATAGGAGTTCAGGTTTGTCTTGCACTCCTGACCTCAGGTGATCCACCCGCTTCAGCCTCCCAAAGTACCAGGATTACAGGTGTGAACCGCTGTATCCCTGGTTTGTTTGTTTTTTAAAAGCTGGGTTTTGAGAATTCTTTACATATTTTAAATACTTCTTTATTGGGTATGTGATTTCAGTTGGCCGTATGGCTTTTTCATCTTTACAGGGTCTTTTACAGAGCAAGGATAATTTTGATAAGGTCCAGCTTTTCAATTTTTCCTCTTATTGTGCTTTTGGTAACAAGCCAAAGAACTCTTTGTATAGCACTGGGTATTAGAAACTTTTCTCCTATTTCTTTCTAAAAGTTTTATAGTTTTACATTTAAGTCTGGAATCCATTTTGATTTGATTTTTGTATAAGGTATAAAGTTTGGGTCGTGGATCTTTTCTTTTTTCCTTTTTTTTTTTTTTTGCCTATGGATGTCCAATTGCTCCAGCATCGTTTGTTGAAAAAGCTGTTTCTTCCACTGGATTGCTTTTGATCCTTTGCCAAAAATTAGCTGGACATATTTATGTGGGTCTATTCTATTTCTGGGTCTTTATTCTGTTCCATTGATGTATGTGTCTATCCTTGTGCCAACCCTGCACTGTTTTTGACACTGTACCTTTATAGAAGCCTTCAAATTTGGGTAGAGTGATTCCTCTCATTTCATTTTACGTATACACACACACTTTTTTCCCCCTTCAATTACTCGAAGGCATGTTAAATGCATCATGGCTCTTTATTCTTAAATACCTTCGTGTGTATTTTCTTTTTAAATTTTTTTATAGTTTTCAATTTTAAAAAATAGAGACAAGGTTTCACCACATTGCCCACGCTGGTCTTGAACTCTTGAGTTCAAGCCACCTGCCCACCTCAGCCTCCCGAAGTGCTGGGATTACAGGCCAAACCACCACGTGGGGCCTCAGTGTGTATTTTTTAAAAAATAGGGCCATTTTCTTACATAATTACAGTGTAGTTATCAACGTCAGCACGTTTTTTATTGATAAACATTTTTCTGTAATCTGCTACCTATATTTAATTTTTTGTTGTTGTTGTTGTTGTTGAGACAGAGTTTCGCTCTTGTTACCCAGGCTGGAGTGCAATGGCGCGATCTCGGCTCACCACAACCTCCGCCTCCTGGGTTCAGGCAATTCTCCTGCCTCAGCCTCCTGAGTAGCTGGGATTACAGGCACGCGCCACCACGCCCAGCTACACAGAATCCCTTCTATAGCCACATCCACCCTGCTCCTCCCTGACAACTACTATTTTGTCCTCCATTTGTATAATTTTGCCATTTTAAGAATGTTATATAAATGAAAGTATGTAACCTTTTGAGACTGGCTTTTTTCACTTATTATTCCTTGGAGGTTCACTGAGAGTGTTACATGTATCAACAGTTTGTTACTTTTTATTGCTCACTAGTATTCTGTGGTATGCATGTACCACAGGTTGTTTAATCATTGACCCATTAAAAGATGCCTGGGTTCTTTCCAGTTTTGGGCTATTACCAAATAGAGCTACTGTGAGCATTCTTTTTGGAGGTTTATGTGTGTTTTCATTTTTTTCTGTGATAAGTACCCAAGAGTGCAACCGCTGGATGGTATGGTAGTTGTGTGTTTAGTTTTATAAGAAACTGCCAAACTTTTCCAGGGTGGCTGTACATTCCTGCCAGCGATATAGGAGTGATTCAGTTTCTCTGCTGTATCCTCATTCTGTTAGGTGTGTAGTGATATCTCATTGTGGCTGTAATTTGTATTTTCCTAATGGCTACTGATGTTGGATTTCTTTTCATATGTTTGTTATCTGCATATCTGCTTCAGAGAAATATGTGTTCATATCTTTTGCACATTTTAGTTTTTTTTTTTTTCTTGAGACAGAGTCTCACTATATTGCCCAGGTTGGAGTGCAGTAGCACAATCTTGGCTCGTTGCAACCTCTACCTCCCAGGTACAAACAATTCTCCTGCTTCAGCCTCCAAAATAGCTGGGACTACAGGCATGCGCCACCATGCCCAGCTAATTTTGTATTTTTAGTAGAGATGGGAGTTCAGGTTTGTCTTGCACTCCTGACCTCAGGTGATCCACCCGCTTCGGCCTCCCAAAGTACCAGGATTACAGGCGTGAACCGCTGTATCCCTGGTTTGTTTGTTTTTTTAAAGCTGGGTTTTGAGAATTCTTTACATATTTTAAATACTTCTTTATTGGGTATGTGATTTCAGTTGGCCATATGGCTTTTTCATCTTTACAGGGTCTTTTACAGAGCAAGGATAATTTTGATAAGGTCCAGCTTTTCAATTTTCCCTCTTATTGTGCTTTTGGTAACAAGCCAAAGAACTCTTTGTATAGCACTGGGTATTAGAAACTTTTCTCCTATTTCTTTCTAAAAGTTTTATAGTTTTACATTTAAGTCTGGAATCCATTTTGATTTGATTTTTGTATAAGGTATAAAGTTTGGGTCGTGGATCTTTTCTTTTTTCCTTTTTTTTTTTTTTTGCCTATGGATGTCCAATTGCTCCAGCATCGTTTGTTGAAAAAGCTGTTTCTTCCACTGGATTGCTTTTGATCCTTTGCCAAAAATTAGCTGGACATATTTATGTGGGTCTATTCTATTTCTGGGTCTTTATTCTGTTCCATTGATGTATGTGTCTATCCTTGTGCCAACCCTGCACTGTTTTTGACACTGTACCTTTATAGAAGCCTTCAAATTTGGGTAGAGTGATTCCTCTCATTTCATTTTACATATACACACACACTTTTTTCCCCCTTCAATTACTCGAAGGCATGTTAAATGCATCATGGCTCTTTATTCTTAAATACCTTCGTGTGTATTTTCTTTTTTAATTTTTTTATAGGTTTTTTTTTTTTTTTTTTTTTTTTTGTGAGACAGAGTTTCACTCTTGTTACCCAGGCTAGAGTGCAATGGCGCGATCTCGGCTCACCGCAACCTCCGCCCCCTGGGTTCAGGCAATTCTCCTGCCTCAGCCTCCTGAGTAGCTGGGATTACAGGCACGCGCCACCATGCCCAGCTAATTTTTTGTATTTTTAGTAGAGACGGGGTTTCACCATGTTGACCAGGATGGTCTCGATCTCTTGACCTCGTGATCCGCCCGCCTCGGCCTCCCAAAGTGCTGGGATTACAGGCTTGAGCCACCGCGCCCGGCAATTTTTTTATAGTTTTCAATTTTAAAAAATAGAGACAAGGTTTCACCACATTGCCCACGCTGGTCTTGAACTCTTGAGTTCAAGCCACCTGCCCACCTCAGCCTCCCGAAGTGCTGGGATTACAGGCCAAACCACCATGTGGGGCCTCAGTGTGTATTTTTTTTAAAATAGGGCCATTTTCTTACATAATTACAGTGTAGTTATCAACGTCAGCACGTTTTTTATTGATAAACATTTTTCTGTAATCTGCTACCTATATTTAATTTTTTTTTTTTTTTTTTTGTTGAGACAGAGTTTCGCTCTTGTTACCCAGGCTGGAGTGCAATAGCGCGATCTCGGCTCACCACAACCTCCGCCTCCTGGGTTCAGGCAATTCTCCTGCCTCAGCCTCCTGAGTAGCTGGGATTACAGGCACGCGCCACCATGCCCAGCTAATTTTTTGAATTGTTAGTAGAGACGGGGTTTCACCGTGTTGACCAGGATGGTCTCGATCTCTTGACCTCATGATCCACCCGCCTCGGCCTCCCAAAGTGCTGGGATTACAGGCTTGAGCCACTGCACCCGGCCTAACTTTTTTTTTTTTTTTTTTTAGTAAAATTAATACAGTAATGTGCTTTAGAGCCTTAAAAAACAAAACCAAAAAACTACAAAACAGTGTTCAGTCTAGAGTCAGGTATTGCATTTAGCTGCAATGTCTCTTCGGTCACTTTTTTTCTTTTTTTTGAGACAGAGTCTTGCTCCTTCTAGCAGGCTGGAGTGCTATGGCACAATGTCAGCTCACTGCAACCTCCACTTCCTGGTTCAAGCATTCTCCTGCCTCAGCCTCCTGAATAGCTGGGATTATAGGTGCCTGCCACTGCGCCAGCTAATTTTTGTATTTTTTAATAGAGATGGGGTTTTGCCATGTTGGCCAGGCTGGTCTCAAATTCCTGACCTCAGGTGATCCGCCCCCTCGACCTTTCAAAGTGCTGGGATTACAGGTGCGAGCCACCGCGACCAGTCTGGTCACCTTTAATCCAGAACATCTCCATAGCTTTTCTTCTTATTTTACGGCATTGATACTTTTGAAGAATACAGCACTTCTCTGCGCCTTTTATTTATTTTTTATTTTTTATTTTTTTTTTGAGACAGAGTGTCGCTCTTGTTACCCAGGCTGGAGTGCAATGGCGTGATCTCGGCTCATCGCAACCTCCGCCTCCTGAATTCAGGCAATTCTCCTGCCTCAGCCTCCTGAGCAGCTGGGATTACAGGCACGCGCCACCATGCCCAGCTAATTTTTTGTATTTTTAGTAGAGACGGGGTTTCACCACGTTGACCAGGATGGTCTCGATCTCTCGACCTCGTGATCCATCCGCATCGGCCTCCCAAAGTGCTGGGATTACAGGCTTGAGCCACCGCGCCCGGCCTTCTGCTCCTTTTAATAGGATATTTCTCATTTTGGGTTTATCTCATGTTTCCCCATGATTAACTTCATGCTGTGCATTTTTTGGCCAGAATACTCCATAGATGATGTGTCTTTCTCAGCATATCACATCTGCAGGCATTCGATTTTCACCCGTCTCCATTGGTGAATTTTTTTTTTTTTTAAACAGAGTCTGGCTCTGCCGCCCAGGCTGGAGTGCAGTGGTGCCATCTCCGCTCACTGCAGCCTCACCTCGTTGAGGTGATCCTCCCAGCTCAGTCTCCTGAGTAGCTGGGACTACAGGCATGTGCCGCCCCACCTGGCCAATTTATATATTTATAAATATATGTATATACACATACATACACATTTTTGGTAGAGTTGGTGTTTCGCTTTGTTAGGCAGGCTTCTCTTGAACTCCTGGGCTCAGGCGATCCTACCTCCTCGGCCTCCCAAAGTGCTGGGATTATAGGTGTGAGCCACCGTGCCTGGTCTCCATTGGTGATTTTAATTTTGGTCACCTATAGAAGCTCTTGTCTGATATTGTTTGGGCCTACAAAAAGGGCAATTTCATAATCTGATCTAACATAAAACCTTTATTGAGGTTTTAGATACCTAACCTGTACTCTCTGATGCTCAGTTTCCCCATCTGTTGAGCTTGGAGGTTTTTTCTGCCCCACGAATATTGCTGGAGAGTTAAACAAAATGATGTATGTAAAATCTGGCATATGAAAAGCATTCTATAAATATTGTCTATTATTATTGCAGCCAGGCCATGTTCAAGGGCGTTGGTTTTGATCTTACTCTCAGTTTCTCCCAATTCCATGCAAAATCTCGACAGAGATCAGTGGTGGCATGGGGATGGGGTGGGAGAGCCTCACTGCTGCCATTTCAATTTCATCTTGAAAACGCGAAACGCCTCCCACACCATGGGGTTGCAATGAGGTTTTATGACATGTGTGTAAAAGTGGCTGGACATAGAACAGGTTCTCAAAAAAAAAAAAAAAAAAAAAAAATCACGAGTGATTCTATTGTATTAGGAAAACAGGAATAGCTGTCAATATTAAAACCACTTTCTAACATGATGTTGTTTCATTCTGAGGCGGTAGCACGGTGTGAGCAAACACCGTCAGAGACCAGGGCTCTGGAATTTCTTTAGCGCTCTGTGATTCTGGGCAGATGCCTTACCCTCTCGGAGCGTGGAGTGTATGGTTTGTAATAAGGAGACAGAACGGGCGCGCGGCCCCCCGGGACCGCTGCGTTAATTAAGGGTGCCAACGGTGCCTCCCGAGTGAGGGGCGCGAGCCAGCGCTCACCCGCACGCCCCGGGCGCCAGGCGCCGCCGAGTGGGCCGGGCCGGGCAGCCTCCCCAGTCGGCGCCAGCCGCGGCCCCCGCCTCGAGCTCCGCCCCCGGCGCGCGTCTCCCGGCGGCGGCCCTGCACCTGGCAGACGCGCGGCGGCGGCTGCGAGCGGTGGCGCTCGGCTCGGGCGGCGGCGGCGGGGAGGGCGCGGCGCACCGATGGGCGCCACTGAGAAGGGAGGCCAGAAGAGCCGGAAGCTGTTTTCCTCGCGGCGGCCGTGGACGGCGACCCGGCGGCTGTGGAGGCCGCGATCGGCTCGCCAGGCGGCGCAGGGTGAGTGTGGGCGCGGCCGGCTGGGACCTGCTCCCCGCAGGCTGGGGCGCCGCGGCGGCGGGGCGGCCCTCGGTGGTCTCTCCGGTCGCGTTCCCGGGCCCGGGAGCCTGGATGACTGGGCGACCCCCGACTCGACCCTCGGCCGCGGGCACGGGACCGCTGGGGAAGCGCAGGGGCTGGTCTCGGCGGTCTCCTTTCCCCCAGCCCCTGCTCGTTGCTTTGGCTCTGGACGCGGGGAAGCCGGGGTGGCGCCGCCGCGCAGCCTGACTCAGGTTTGCACGCCCCCGGCCCCCGGCCCCTGGCCCGGCGCCTGCAATGCAGTGCCCGTTGGGGGAGCGAATCCGACCCCGAGGCTCCCTGTCCCCGCCTCCTTTCTACCTGCCTGCGGCGATGTCCGAAGCTCTCGGGACGAGAAACTATTTTTCAGCACACTCCGCCCTGTCCTCGCCAGGGCCTCAACTCACAGCCAATCACTGACTCACTTCATTCATTCATTCCACAATTTTTCTCGACCGGCTCGTGGAACTACTAGAGAGGAAGACAGACGTTACACACGCAAAACAGAGAAAGCTCGGTACACATTGCTGTGGGTGGTTGGAGGGAATCAAATAGACTGCTGGGAGAGGAAAAACGGCAGGGGGCCCGAGCTTCCGTGGCAGGCGGACTGGGGAGGCCTCTCCCAGGCATTGCAAGTCAGCGGAGACCTGACTAGGAGTTACTCCAGCGTGGAGCCGAGCAATAGACAGCAAGTGGCAGAGTGCCCGAGCTGAGCAAGGGGTAAGTCAGGGATGCAGGGCCCAGATCGAGGTCCGGACAGAATACGAGGAGGAGTTAGGATTTTATTCTACGGGAGCTGGGAAAACACTGAAGTGTGCTAAGCAGGGATGTGACATGATCTGCTGGCTCACGGCTTTTTTCTGTCTGCAATGTCCATGTCCGCATGTCAGCCTGCCTGATTCCTACCCACCTGCCAAGACTAGCACAAATTCAGTTTCCTCCCCGAAGTCTTCTCTGGCGTTCCTGCCACCTGTAACCCCTCCTTTAGCATTTTGTCACCTGTAGAGCGTTTGTCACTGTTCATCTGTAAGATTCCACGTTCTTATCCATTTCATCTTTGCATTCCCCACTGGGCTTAGTGCAGGGCTTTGTACTGTGTAGATACTGCTTATGAATTTGTCTTGTCTTGTCCTTTTTGTCTGTTCCCATCATCTGAGGATCATCCTTCTGGGGGGTTAACATGCCTTATTTCTAAAATGGCCGACCGGATGCAGGCCAGAGACAGACTGCACCAGGACCCTGCCATCGATATAGTCCCCCGCACACACCCTGGGTGTTTCGAGGATGAAATTAATTAATGAATTAAACGAGTTAGTAGTTATGAAGTGTTAGCACATAGTAAGCATTATAAAAATAAATTTGAAAATGACCAGCAATAATTATCTTTGAAATACTTACTTATTGCATCAGAAACAAGCTTTTCTATTGGTGGTAGTTAGGGAGACTCTGCAGCTTGTCCTTGACATCTTGCTGGCTTCCAAGTATGTGTTTCTACTTTTTTTAAGTCAGCGCACGAATTAAATTCCTACATCATCAAGAACTATTGCTGAGGCAGGGCGCAGTAGCTCACGCCTATAATCCCAGCACTTTGGGAGGCTGAAGCGAGCAGATCACTTAAGGTCAGGAGTTCGAGACCAGCCTGGTCAACATGGTGAAAACCCATCTTTACTAAAAAAACAAAATTAACTGGGTGTGGTGGCATAGGGTACACCTGTAGTCTGAGCTACTCAGGAGGCTGAGGCAGGAGAATCGCTTGAACCCAGGAGGCAGAGGCTTCAGTGAGTCTGGAACGTACCACTGCACTCTAGCCTGGGCCACAGAGTGAGATTCTGTCTCAAACAAACAAACAAACAAACAAACAGAACTATTGCTGAAATTTAATAGGGCTGAAGGCTGACCACTTCTTTTCATGAGCTTGAATGCGATTGATGATTGCAACAAGTATTCCTTGAGTGATAATTACATGTATTGTGTTATTCCAGATGTTTTGTGAATGCTTACAAAAAAGGAATAAATGAATATTGCCAATATAGTAACTTGGGTTAGAGTAAGTGTTCTAGTTTTATAATTTTTATTTTAATTTTTAAAATCTTTAAAGTTCAGGGATACATGTGCAGGATGTTCATAAGTAAAGGTGTGCTATGGTGGTTTGCTGCACCTCTCAAACCATCACTTAGTTATTAAGTCCTTCATGCATTAGCTATTTTTCCTGATACTCTCTTTCCCCTGCCCTCACCACCACGGGCCCCAGTGTGTGTTGTTTCCCTCTCTGTGTCCATGTGTTCTCATTGTTCAGCTCTGACTTATAAGTGAGAACAAGTAGTGTTTGGTTTTCTGTTCCTGAATTAGTTTTATAATTTTAAAACCAGATCTGTAGTGCGTATACAACCATGGCTGCTTCTCTGTGCCTGATCTAGAGTTTACTCACAGCTTCCCAGAGCTCATCACCACCTCACACCTCTTTTTTCTTAGATAGGATCTTGGTTCCTCACTACCTTCCTCTGCTATTTATCTTCCCCTTACCCCGTAAATCTTATGGATAAAGCCATTATAATATCTAATGTTACATGATACTTTACCTCTTTCTTTTCTTTTCTTTTTTCTTTCTTTTTTTTTTTTTGAGACGGAGTTTTGCTCTTGTTACCCAGGCGGAGTGCAATGGCACGATCTCGGATCACCGCAACCTCCGCCTCCTGGGTTCAGGCAATTCTCCTGCCTCAGCCTCCTGAGTAGCTGGGATTACAGGCATGCGTCACCATGCCCAGCTAATTTTTTTTTTTTGTATTTTTAGTAGAGATGGGGTTTCACCATATTGACCAGGATGGTCTCGATCTCTTGACCTTGTGATCCACCCACCTCGGCCTCCCAAAGTGCTGGGATTACAGGCGTGAGCCACCGCGCCCAGCCCTTTCTTTTCTTTTTTTTTTTTGAGATGGAGTCTTGCTCTGTAGCCCAGGCTGGAGTGCCGTGGTACAATCTTGGCTCACTGCAACCTCCACCTCCCAGGTCTCAGTTCAAGCAATTCTCCTACCTCAGCCCCCCAAGTAGCTGGGAATACAGGCACAAGCCACCATGCCCAGATAATTTTTGTATTTTTTAGTAGAGAGGGGGTTTCACCGTGTTGGCCAGTCTGGTCTTGAACTCCTGACCTTGTGATCCGCCTGCCTTAGCCTCCTAATGTGCTGAGATTACAGGCGTGAGCCACTGTGCCTGGCCTTGATACTTTACCTCTTATAGTTCAACTACAGGATTTTGTTTAGATCTTGACAATATCCCTGGAAGAGGGGGCAGATGTTATTTATTTCCTTTTTTTTTTTTGAGACAGAGTCTTGCTCTGTTGCCAGGCTGGTGTGCATTGCTGCAGTCTCAGCTTACTGCAACCTCTGCCTCTCGGTTTAAAGCAATTCTCCTGCCTCAGCCTCCCAAGTAACTGAAACTGCAAATACACGCCACCACATCCGGCTAATTTTTGTATTTTAGAGATGAGGTTTCACCATGTTGGCCAGGATGGTCTCGATCTCTTGACCTCATGATTTGCCCACCTTGGCCTCTCAAAGTGTTGGGATTACAGGCGTGAGCCACCATGCCCAGCCTCCCCCACTTTATACTTAAGAGAAGGTGAAGCAAGAGACACTAAGTGATATGCTAGAAGTCATGTGACTCGTGAGTGGCAGACTCAGGCCTGCTTACCTGTACAGCATCCTTTCTGTGACATCTCCCTCCCCACATGAAAAAACCATGTTTCAATAGCTATACTCATGGAAGGGAGAAGTAGTGAATAAATATTATGCAGTAAAAGAAATCTATACTCAATTTTATTTGATTTTTAAAAGTTAACCTGAATTTCTTATGGTGATGTCAACATCACTTTGGGCATCTAGAATCATATGCTTTGATGTCAGACAGGCTATGATTTGACAGGTACATTAATAAGCTGTGTGATATTAGACAAGGTCCGTAGCCTTTCAAAAACAGAGTTATATATTATCTGAAAAATGGGGACGACAATTCCTATGTCGTGTTACTGTGATGATTAAATATGCTTCTGCTACACAGAGTTTCATAAAGTACTGATTATTTATATTAATAGGTTTAATATTATATATTAATATTAATAAAACAAAACCTAATATTAATATGGTTGAAAATCTAGACTATTCTTAGAAAATAGTCTAGAAAACCTAGAAAAGTCTAGAAATTATTAGGAAACCATAATATTAATATGGCTGAAATTGTAGGCTACTATTAGTATACTATTGTTAGTACAGACTAATAATCATCTAGATTTTCATAATAGTCTAGACCAGGCGTCCCCAAACTACGGCCCGCGGCTGAGGCCATTTATCCGGCCCCCCACCGCACTTCAGGAAGGGACGCCTCTTTCACTGGTGGTCAGTGAGAGGAGCACAGTATGTGGTGGCCCTCCAACCACATACTGAAGGACAGTGAACTGGCCCCCTGTGTAAAAAGTTTGGGGACGCCTGGTCTAGACTACTATTAGTCTAGATTAATGCTTAGTCTAGATTTTCAACTGTATGATCACATTCAAAATATGGTTAAAAGTTCAATGCCCTCTGGGAAGCAACCATAACTAAGGCTTCCTTGGGGCAGTTAACCCTTCTGGGTCAACCAGAAAGTCTTCTGCAGCAGCATCCTTCTTTCTGCCACTTTCTTCTTTTTCATCAGGAGGCTGTAGGGGAGAAGGAACATCTAGGGACTCCTGGCGTCTTTTCATCCTAACACTGTGTCCTGAACATAGCAGACATTCAATAAATATGTCTGGAATGAAAGACTCCATCCATTCATGTATGTTTCCAAAGAGAATGACTCTGAAATTTACACTCTGAACATTTGTCACTATAAGTATAGCATAAATACCTAAAAGGGCAATTACTGCATCAAAGTATACATATAAATATTTGATTTTGAGAGACATTGCCAAGTTGACCTTTGTACATTTGTGCTAATTCAGTTTCTGCCAGTAGAACTGATTCCTTACTGAATATGATCAGACTTTTAAATGCTTGCTAATTTGATGGGTGTGAAATGGTATTCCATGTTGTTTTATATTGAATTTTCTTGACCAATAATGAAGTCTACTATCTTTTTACATGAATATTGGCCATTCTTGTCTGAAGCTTTGTGAAAGGCCTACTGATGTCTTTCTCATTTCTTTAACTTGGTGGTTTTTTTTTTTTTTCTTTCTCCACTTAGAAATTCTTTAAATATTCTGGATATGAATTATTTGTTGGTTTAATGTCTAAACAGCCTTTAAAAACATACTTAATCATGCCAGGATTTCTAAATGGGAATATGAATAAGCTGTGCTGAGTTGAAATTAACCCTCTAAATGCTTCTATCCTTTCCAGAGAACCGTATTTTACTCAAATAGAAAAGTTTGTAGGTTACAGAAAAGGCAGCAAATGACAAAAGCATTTTATGAGCAGTAGATTTCTCTAGCCCTTGAAATGATGGTAGATAACTGGCCTTGAGTTCCTTCCACCAGAAATTCCCTCTTCTAAACCCTGTGGTGGCTGAGGAGCCCTTTCGTGAGCTGTGGTATTCTCTGGGAAGACACAGGTTGCAACTAGAGTCAGTCTCCATCAGTAGGTAGTATTTTCCAGAACAAGTTACTTGGAGGAGAGGACAGAATTTCTGTCATGTTGATCAGTGGTTTCTTCTCTCACTGCCATTGTCTAGCCATATGTCCCTA